TTCTTCAATTAGATTTATTTGTGGAGATCCTGCCGTTCAATCTAATATAGTTGGAGCAGTTAATATTTCTACTGGATGGACTTTTAACACTTCTACTGCTGATGTAATGGGTAATTTATTTGCTGATGATATTTATGTTAAAACTAATGGAGCATTAAGAAGTAATCATATAGCACCTAATGGTGGAACATTAGTAACCGTTGATACTAACTTAGCAGTTCAAAATGCATATTTAGCAACTAATACCATTCAATCATTTGATTTAACAACGGTTTCATTTTTGAATAATATTTCAATGACTACTGGAACAGATCTAAAGATGGGAACAAGTGAAATATCAACTTATTACGATGGAACTAGTTTATCTACAATTGATGTAATATTCAGAACATCAAACACGGCGTTTAGAGTTGCTGATAGTTCTACTACCCCTTCTGTTTTATTATCTATTGATAAGACATTTGGAACAACAGTAAATACTGAAAGTTTTACAAATAATGCTCCATCGACTTTTAATGAAAATGTAACAGTTGCGGGAACGAAGAAATTGTTATGTAATTTAATTGAACCATCAACAGGAACTAATATAGATTTAACAGCAACAACAGTAACCATCAACGGAACGTTTGTTGATTCATCTGATTCAAGATTGAAATATGATATAGACAATGTCAAATCTAATTGTATGAATATTATTAAGAAATTTAAACCGAAGAAGTTTAGGAGACACGATAGAAATGATAACGGTAAAACTCATATAGGATATATAGCAGATGAAGTATTAAAAGCAATTCCTAAAGAATTTGAAAATGTTGTATGTAAAGACAGAGAGTATTTAGGATTAAATTATTTAGTTTTACCTGTGCTAGTTCATAAAGCAGTATTAGAATTAAATGATAAAGTAGATAAACTTGAAAAAGAAATTAAGGAATTGAAAAAATCAAAAGATTTTTAGAATTTTCCTTATTTCAATCTAAGATTAAAATAAGCAAAATGTCAAAAAGAAAAATCTAAATAATACATATATAATGGGTATTGGTCAAAGTAAAGACGATGAAAATAACAGTATGGAAGACATTAAGAATTTAAGAGTAGATGAAAAAACAAGAGCAGATACTTTAATAATCAAATCTATTCAAGAATGTGTAACGAGAATAGAAAAGTTAGAAAATCAAAAATCGGACAAACTAATATATAAATTACCAAATTTACAATTATGTAATGCTTCATTGATTTAAATTAATAATATTAATATGATTTATTAAAATTATTAATTGAACAAATATGAATAACATTTACTAATACAACTTTGTCTATCATCATTGATGACTTTAATAGTTATTTTGTTCAATTGTAATGAAATAAAACCATCAACCATACATTTAAATGTATATGTATAATGACTAATGACTTTATTCATAAAATAATAAATATCAAATAAACTATTTGATGTTAAAATACGTTTAGTAATTTTACACGACTCTTTAGATGAACTAGTATTAACATGCGTAAAACAATCAATTGATAGATTTAATGGTTTATGTTTTTGATGTAATTTATCTAACTCACTTAAATTAAAAATATATGAAAGTCCATTATTAATATTAATATTAATATTGTCAATTTCAAAATAATGTATATTGTTAAATATATTATTTGATTTGTAAGACTTATACACTGGTTTAAACTTATTAATATAATTTTTGACAATATTACTATTTTTTATTTTTAATAATCTAACATCACCTAAATTATAAGATAATACAAGGTTTTTAATGTCTAATGGTAAATCATAAAACAACATAATATATTTAAATATTTATTTCATTTTAAATGCTTTTTCAAATCTAACATATTTAGTTATTTTTTAATCATCTGGCACTCTTGTTGAACCACCATCACTATAATTATCACTATCACTATCAGTATCATTTTCTATACGAATATGTTCTTCTAATTCTTTCCTCATTTTTTCTGCTTCCTTAAAAGTAATATGACAATCACTTTCAATATGGTTAACAGCATCCTTCATTAAAAAAGTTTCACCACATTCACACTCTACTAATTGTTGTAGTCTTTGCTTCCGGTATTCTTGAATTTGTTTTGGTATATCGTCGCCGAAAAACCTTACTGGTTCTTCATATATTCTTTCTTGAATCATTTTTAACATTCTATAATATATAATAGATTTATTTTATTTTAAAAGCTTTCTCAAATCTAACATAAAACATATTATTAACATCTTTGGAATTCATATTAACATAAAAGAAGGAGTAGGGCTTATCATCTACCGCTTTATGATACATATTTAACAGTTGCTCTTTATCAACGATGGCGGAGTTTTCCTCAATGAATGACATTAACTCTGATACATTCTTTAACTTAAAGATATACAACGAACTAGAATTCAACCTAATGATTGGTGCTAGGACACGATATTTTTGAACGCTTAAACAAAAACTAATGGCGTCGTGCCTGCCTCTCGTTGCCAGTCCATGAAGTAACTTACTGTATCTAACGAATTTAGGGTCATCTGCGAAGTCATCAACAATAATCAGTATTGAGTGTAATTTCTTCATTTTCTGTTCTTTCATATAATGAATAATCTTTCTTTGTGTGTTAATTATTTCTTCCAGTTCTTCAGGTTGGTATGTGTCATAATATAACTTTTCTTTTTCATCATCAACCTTCATATTATCTTTTTGATATTTCTTGACTTCAACGAAGGTAGGGTCATTATGAACCGACGGGCTAAAAATGAATATACGGGCGAAGCAGTCCCTATAAACATTTAGGATAAGGTTTTGAATTAAAACTGTTTTGCCACCCGTTGATGAAGCAACAACAATTGAGCGAAAAGGTAGTTTTGGCACATGTTCATATTTAGATTGTTTGAAATCGTAATCAGTTATATTTATTGGTTTTATTATTGGAACGTTTGTCATAATTGATATTAAAGATATATAGAAAATTATATTTAAAAATTAACTTGTAATTATTATTGAATGGAACATCTTTTTTATGATATGCTGGTAGTGAATATCATAAAAACGGAACAGGTTTCCATTGCTTCAATCAATAAGCATTGAAGATAATTAGTTTTGTGTCTTGCTCGCGTGTGCAATGAAAACCCAAGTGCTGTGCCCCACCAATATTCTATTATGCATGAAAATAATAAGATCAAATAATTATTTTTAATGATTATTTCATCTTATTATTTAATATGGATAGAAGTTATTCAGATTATATTGATATAATAGATGAAGTAGAGAATATAGAACAAGTGATAATAACTGACAACAGATGTAAGAAAGTATGCTTTTATACATTAGAATTAATAAAATTAGGAATACAATATATCAAAAATAAAAATGTAAATATTAATATAAATGGGAAAAAAGAAAAACAAAAAGAATAAAACAGATACTACAGTTTCTTCAACAGATGAAGACAAAGAAGAAGAAATTGTTAAAGAAACATCAGTTATTGAGTTTGAGTGTCCTATGTGTAGAAAGATGTTAGCAATGAAGAACGAATTAGAAATTCAAAAGAAAGGAAATTGTAAATGTTCGTGTATTCCGACAAATTTCAAATTGAGTAAAAACGATAAGAAAATGAATATTGATAAAACTAAAGACAGTATCAACTTAGAAACTGATGTCCATAATATAACTTTTAAATGGGGAAGGCATGCGTCACCATCCGATAATGGTGATAACGAAGCACAGGAAACTATTAAACAAATGATGAAAATTTAGTACTTAAAGAGTAGATTTTACATTAAATCAATTTTATAAATAAATAAATATTTAAATAAATAATTATATAAATAAATATATATAGAAATGTCTGAAGTTGAGAATGATTCTATTTCTGAACTATCAAAGAAAATAATGACAGTTAGTAAAAATGTTAAACTGTTGTACGAGATGATAAAAACTATTGACCAGAAACTTGATGCAAAGGCAAACGAACCAAAAGATAACAATGAAGAGAAGGAAAAGATTGACAAAATCTTTGAAAAGAAAGGGATAGGCAGACCCAGCGGTGATTATGACACGAAGCGTAAAAAATATTGTGATATGTTAAATAAGGGACAAATCAAAAGTCCAAAAGAACAAACATTAGAATACTATAAGATTATTAAGGAAGATGATAAATATGTATATTTCTAAAACATTATCTAAATCATTCTAATAAACAATATGAATTTATTAGAATTATTTAGTGGAACTGGAAGTGTAGGAACCATAGCAAAGTCACTCGGTTATAATGTCATCTCATTAGACTTGAAAAATGCTGATATTAATTGTGATATTTTGACGAGTTTGGTGGATTAAGGAATTTGAGTTGGGGTTGGAGTTCAAACTTGAAATTTCTAGGTTCCTCCAACGACAACACAGTAAAATTTATGAAATTTAAAATTTTGAAAATGGTGAATTTTAAGGGGATAATCCATAGTTCATAAAATAAATAAAACACCAAAAATATATAGATATATCCAGAAACTCTTGCCAATCGCCAAACAGGGCAACAAAAAATTGGCGAGAGTTTCCCCCTTATATAATATATAAATATAAGAAAAAACCCTCCCAACTCCTCCCGTCCATACCTAGTAGAGGAAAGCCTTGTAGGCGAAGATGACGAAGAAGATACCTGCGGGCACAACGATACGGGAACTTCCAAAATGGGGGAAGGGTAAAAACAAAACAAGGGGCGCGACAAAAACGACCCACCCAGCGACTAAACCAACCCAATCTGCTTCAAATCCTTCAATCTCACACCTCTACCTCTCTCACATCAACCTTTCAACCTCTCGCTCAAACCCCTTCTCAAAATGAGCCTTTTTCATCTCACAGGACAACGGATTAAGCGGGTTTAAAGTGCCACCACCGCCACTCAATAAGCCTATTCGGAGCCCTAAATGAGCGCATTGAGCAGTCTAAATGGCTGTATTGAGCAGTCTAAATGGCTGTATTGAGCAGTCTAAATGGCTGTATTGAGCAGTCTAAATGGCTGTATTGAGCGGTTGTGGGTTCTGCACCGTCGCATTTGGGAGAGTGGCTCATCCCATATTGATGTCGCCACTGGATTTCGCCTCACGGACTGCCACCTTTTTGGTGTGAATGCTTCCGAAAAGGAGCTTCAATTTGCCAAGGTCATAGTTGCCATTGTTCTGCTCAATGGCGCGGTTGAAAGCCCACTGAAACACCACTGAGGCACTTTCAATGGTAGAGGTCAAGCCGGAACATATGGACTTTACCTCCCTCAACCTCTCGGCAAAGACTTTTTCCCCAACCTCCTTCATCTTGGTGTCTGTCGATGAGCCACCCCCAAGGACTGCCACAATCTCGCTCAACTGGTTCTCATCCAAGCGTTTGCCAAAGGTCTCTAAAGCCAATGTGGCATTTGCATCTGCCATCTCATACAACTCCTTGAACTTCTCCTCCAACTGAAGCACCTGAGGGAAGACCCCAGCAGTGGATGTAGAAGAAGCACGGATGGACACAATCTTGTCCTTCAGGTTCTTGGACTTCAGCGCCACCTTTTGGAGGTCTCTGTGTGAACCTCCACCCATCATCTTGAGTTTGATGAGCATTTCGGAAGGGCACTCTGAAACCAATGAGGCTTCAGACAGCTTCTCGCCATTGATGGGGTTGAACAGGCCAAAGGTGCCAGTCTCAATGTTCGTGATGTCGTTAATCTCGTCCATCACCTGCTTCACAGTGGCCGTGGGCAAGAAGAACAGTTTGATACGCATATTCTTGTCCTTGGTGTTTGGGTAAATTACCACTTCCACCGCCTCGTCACGGTTGATGGGCTCAATATAGCCGGTGCCATCTCCAACATCAAAGTTGTAGTCAGCAAGGAAGGTGAAGTCATCACCTTCGCCCCACACCTCCTCAAAGTCCTCCTCATCAGAACTGCTGTTCTCATCATTGACTGGCTCTCCCACAGCAATGCGGTAGACGCGGTCATTCTTGTCATAGACATTCACCGCGATAAGGTCGTTCCCCACAGCAAAGTCTTTGACAAGGCCGTTCTGGTCTTCACCAGAGACCACAGCGTTGAGGAGATGACCGTTCAAGAAGTAAAGGAAGCGCCGGTCGTGTTCTTGGTAGAGGTTAAACTGTCTCAAACCAGCCAACACAGTGCCAATCAACTGAAAGACCGTTGTGGTAGGCGTGACATTCACGCTGTAGGGGCTGTTTGCAGGTGTTGGTGTCCTCACCCCATCTTCATTGACAATGAACTCCACAAACGCCACCTTCAAGTGAAAGTCGTGCTCCACCGTGGGATTGAAGACTGCCACTTCAAGCACTGAGCCCTCACGGATGCCGTAGGCAAAGAGGCGCCTGTTGGTCTGAAGCCTTTCCGTCCCAAACACCAAAACAACATCCTTGTTGATGTGCTCGGAGAGGTCTTCCTCCTTGAACTTCTTGACGGTCTTTTTCAAGGAAGTTTGCACATCAATCTCCCTGCCAGAAATGAACCTGACGCGAAGCCCGACACTGACAGAACGGCTTTCATCCACCAATGCTTTCACACGGGCTTTGTGCTCGTTCTTCATTCTCAAAAACTCTGCCTCTGCCCTCTCAATCTCACCCAAGATGGACTGGTAGCGGGGGTTATCGGATGATGAAGCAGGGACATCAAGCACAGAAAAGTCCTTTCCCACGAGAGCATCATCGTTGATAGAAGGCTTTTCCTCGACCTCTTTCTGACAAGTCAAACAGACAAAGTCAGGGGTGATGGCGAGCCCGTCGATGTCAATGCCCCCCTGTGTCTTGGCAGTTGCTTGCTGTTCTTTGATGTGGTTGGCAACCTTCAAGGCGTCAATCGTTGGAGAACTCGCAAAAAGACGGACATCACCAGCGCAGGAAAAATCGCCAACCATTTGGCCAACATCAGGCGTGTCAAAGTTCCCGGGTTGACCGTGCTGAAGCTTGAAGCTGGTGTGTGAAATCCCTGTCCCCTGCTCCACTAACTGCTTGACATCAAGGATACAATCCTTGGGGTCCATCCTCAACTTGAAGTTGAAGATGCCAAAGACATCCACAACCACCCTCAAAGACATTGCTGGAAATTGAGGGATGAAGCTCGGATTGGAGTAGAACCAAAAGGTTCTAATGCAGAATGAAAAGTTCTTAGCAACTCACTTGCTCCAAGGTTGAAGTTTCTGCCAACAGCACACACCCCGCTCCCATCCTCGCCTTCTCAAGGTTCTTCTTGATGTCCAGCAAACGTGGGCGGGCAGGCGGTGCCGACGGTGCCCAGAAATTAACCCATAAACCTTACAATAAAAAACATTGTAAGATTTATGATTTGGATTTATGGGGATTTTATATTTTGGGATTTTGGGAAAATATATTTTGGGAATTTGGGATTTTGGGATTTAGGTGGTAAAAATTGGTTGAGGTGGCGTGCCCCTGTTGGTTAATATGGTTGAAGTGGTTGACTGAGGGGATTTTATCTGAACTGGGGCATGCCCTTTGGTAGGTGTAAGGGGCTCCCTAGTCCACCCCCATTTATCCCCCCCTCTTACATCCCCCTCCTTAAGAACCTCATAGTGACGGTTAGTAAGGGACATCCCAGCCATACATAGCTGCGGAATTCCGCCTTCTTAGTTCTGTACATGGTTCTGGGTCGACCATTTAAATACCAGGTTTTGATTATGACTCAGGTAGACTTAAACCCAGGGTGGAAGAGGGAAAGCCTAGGTTTAAGTCGGAGGTTGTCCAAAAGGGTGGTTGATTCCCCCGAAAAGGGAAAGCCTAGGTTTTGGTCGAAGGTTGTCCAAACATGGACGTCTGGGTTTGCTTTGGTTTTGGAGGTCTGAAGGGGTTGGCCCCCCCCGATCTTCAGGGGATTGATTGTATGGTCCGGATTAATCCGAAGTTAACATTAAATCATGAAGGGACAGTAGGGGCAAAGTGCAAAAACCAGAGCTGAAAGCTGGGTTGCTCAAAGGCAATCCTTGCGCCACTTCCAGGAATGAAAGAGGATCATCCTTGTCGGGTAGAAGGATTTTCCCCGCCATTTTCTGGGGAGTATGGAGTAGGATCGGCCAACAAACCCATTTGAGCAGGAAAGAACGAGCTTTCCAGCCATGGTTGTTTTTGTGGCGCCAAATAAAAGTGCCAGCTTGCCTGGGACATTCGGGATGGCCGCTTTGACTGCCGAAGCTGGTGGGTTTGCGTGTGGGAGTTGCAAGTGTTTCGGTGGAGGGACCTTGGAACTCAGAACAATCCTCAGAACCTTGGGGGTGCGATTTGAGCCTTTGGCTTCCTCTCAATGACTAACCACTGTGTGTATGTACATATGTACATATGTGCATATATATATATATATACTACATATATATATATACTACATATATATATATATACATATATGTATACACATGCTATATATACACACAGATACATATGTATACACTATATATAGATACACACGATATATATATATATATATATGTATAGACATATTGGTCTCAAGCCGCTGCACGAATCCACCCGGCCTGAGCCGAGGAAGCCTGAAGGCACGGGGGGGGGGGGAGCGGATGTGATTTCGGACCTTGCATATATCCCCACCACGTAGACGGAAGGGGGTCGCCGTGTATGGGGGAGTCGTTTCTTGACCATAGGTGGCCGCTTTGGGTTAGTTTGGCTAGACATAGATGGGTTTCACTGGTTGAGATGGGGTTTACTTCCCATTTAGGAGGGAAACTCATCTATTTTTCCAGAAAGGACACCTATGCCCCACCATATATTTTGTTTCTGATGGGTTTGTGTTGTGTGGGTGTGGGTTGTTTGTATTTCTGTTGTTTCCGTTTTTTGCGTTTGTGGGTTGTGGTCTGTTCTTCTGTTTGTGTGTGTGTTTTTTGCCGGGGGGGGGGGGGATGGATGATGGATGCGGGAGTCCCTCCAAACGATTCCGAACATCAGGCAAACCGAGACCGCCCCTTGTTTCGTTCAAAGGGACGCGGTGAGAGAGCGAGCCAGGCTGCAAGACCATATGGGTCGGCTGGGTGGACAAGAAGCCGGAAGAGGAGGAGAGGGTCGAGAACGTAGGTGTTCTTTTTGGCGGTTTTGTTGAAAGTAGACGGGCCCGGTCCTGTTTCATCATCCACCAGGGCCATTTGTTGGTGTGGGGAATTTCGGGGACCTCTTTGCTTTCTTTTTTTGCGGGAGAACCATCTTGTTTTTTTGGGGACTTGGCATGTGAGGTGGTCTGAGGTTGGTTCATCTCGGTCGGAAAGACATGTGAGAACGATCACTATTTGCCTAGGTCCTCCAGTAGTGCCCTCTCTCACCTTTTTTTTGGGAGGTTTCCCCTACTAAAATAGACTACGGGAAAAAAAAAAAAAAAAAAAACAGTGGGTGCCCCTGTCACCAACAAATGGCTTTGCGCGCAGACCTGTTTTGGACGCCTTTGGTTTGCCGTGGGTCTGGTCTCTGGAGCCGTACGCCTTGTCAAGATGCCATCAGTGGTTGAGGGGTGGTTTCCCATTTACCCTCTACAAACCTGACGGGTTGCCTGAGCAAGGGTGGGAAAACCACCCCCTACCTGACCCAGGATTGTTGCCTTGCCTCAGCCTCTCAGGGCAACAAACTGACTTCCATTTGCTGGAATGAATATGTTGTTATTTTCCCTTGTTGGTTGTTCAACGGGAATCCATCACTACTAGACATATTTTTCCCAGGGGGCTTAAGCAAATGGAAGTTGAATATGCTGCTTAACATCGAGGACTCACCTAACCCGCTTTGAGAGGCTCTAAGACACCTGGAGCAAAGCCCCCCCCCCTCTTCCCCCCTCTTTCCCCCTCTTTCCCTCTCTTTCCCCCTCTTTCCCCCTCTTTCTCCCCGCCTTCCCCCTCCCCCTCCCCCCCCCCCCCCCTCCCCCCTCTCGCCCCAACACTCCCCTTCCCCCCTCCCCCCACAGAAAGATAACTCTCCATTTGCTTAAGAATATGGTTTTATTTTCCCTTGTTGGTTTTTAAAGGAATCCACCACTACTGCACATATTTCTCGATTTTTTCCTGGGGCCTTACACAAATGGAAGACACCCCCAGGAGCTGCAGGACTTCTTCAAGGACTGCGGCAAGATCGTAGAGGCCGCGCCGGCCTTTGCTTCCAGAGGTGTCCTTTGTTGGTTGCTTTGCTTAAAACATAGAGGGCTTCCCCTGGGTTCCCCTGGCCATTTTTCCAAAAGGCCACCTATTGGCAAAAAAGCCCCCTATGTGGGTTTCAAAGGGAAGCCAAAGGAACATCACCATTTTCGGGGGTCCCCCCAGAAGAAAAGACACATCCACAGAAAGCAGCACATTTTAGGGGGTCACATAGAAAAAGGACACACTTCCGAATGGCCGTGTTTTGTTTTGAGGGTACCCACTTTGGGGGTGCTTGAAAGCAACGCCAAGGGGAACTCCACCATGGGGCGCCCCCAAAGCAGATCGAGCTTTTGACCTTTGGGTTTACCCATGTTCCATGTTGAGCTAAGGTCCCAGGTTAGCCTTTTGTTAGGTCCTTTGGGCAAGTGAGAGTATATACCTGTGGTGGCGGGTTGGTTTGGCGTCCTAAGATTTACCTTGGAGATCGCACATTCTTCTTGCGTCATTTTTAAAGGGACACCAAGGGGAAATGCACAGGCTTGGGATTCTAGTACAAGGAGAAATCAAAGGACACCTTTGGTTTTGTGATTTTATTGCAGAATGACGGAAAGCGACGAGTGGGGGGTGGGGGAGGAGGGGGGGGAGCAGGGTTAGCATTTCAATACGAATTATGATATTTCCAGATAGAGTTTCATTTGCAGAGGATTTCCTTGCCAACATGTTCTTTACACATCAGTTAAAAATTAAACACACGTTGTTTTTCATGTTGTTTGTTTTAAAAAAGAGTTCACCTCGAACTTCCATTTTGAGCTTATATATTTAGGTAGGATTTCCTTTCAGTGAAAAGAACTGTGCTGGATCGGCCCTGCCCAAAACCTGAACCAAGAACGCCTTGAGCAATTCACAAAAGCAAAAGGCACCATTCTCCCAGAAGTTTGGGCACCTCTTGAACAAGTGTCAGTTTGTTTTGTGTTTGCGTGTGTGTGTGCGTGTGTGCGTGTGTGTGTGTGTGTGTGTGTGTGTGTGTGTGTGTGTGTGGGTGCGTGCGTGCGTGCGTGCGTGCGTGCGTGCGTGCGTGCGTGCGTGCGTGCGTGCGTGCGTGCGTGCGTGCGTGCGTGCGTGCGTGCGTGCGTGCGTGCGTGCGTGCGTGCGTGCGTGCGTGCGTGCGTGCGTGCGTGCGTGCGTGCGTGCGTGCGTGCGTGCGTGCGTGCGTGCGTGCGTGCGTGCGTGCGTGCGTGCGTGCGTGCGTGCGTGCGTGCGTGCGTGCGTGCGTGCGTGCGTGCGTGCGTGCGTGCGTGCGTGCGTGCGTGCGTGCGTGCGTGCGTGCGTGCGTGCGTGCGTGCGTGCGTGTGTGTGTGTGTGTGTGTGTGTGTGTGTGTGTGTGTGTGTGTGTGTGTGTGTGTGTGTGTGTGTGTGTGTGTGTGTGTGTGTGTGTGTGTGTGTGTGTGTGTGTGTGTGTGTGTGTGTGTGTGTGTGTGTGTGTGTGTGTGTGTGTGTTTGTGTGTTGATGTTTGCTTTCTGAATGATTGGAGTCTTTCCTTATTGGCATATACTTAACTTCAATTAGAATTTGAGTAGAAGTTGTTAAACATATTCATAATAATTTCATAAGGAACAAGGTCGGAGGTGCACCCATGCTGCAACAGATCAGGGCGTCGCTTTACGTTGTTGCCTCGCTGGTTTGCAGAACTATGCCCCTCGCCCCTGGGTTTTTGTGGCGGCTGTTCCGACAAAAAGGGTGCACCCCACTGAATTCAGAAACGCCATTTTCACGCTTCCCCGATGTCAAGGCTCGGTGGGATGTTCTGCCAAGGGGTATCCAACTACTCCAAGGGTACAGACAAGGTCCCCAAGTGCAACTGATGAAGGGCCGAATCAGGAAGTCGGAGTCCCAGGGTACTAGTTCCTTTTTGGTCTCCCCAAGCCACATTTTGGGGACTTCTCCAATAGGACGCCTTCCCTTTCGTGCGAGAAAGATCAAATTCCACGCAGGGATGATATTTGGGGGAGGGGCA